TTTTGTGTGTGAATACCTTCTTTTTGAATAATTAATTGTAACCTTTTTTTGTTGAAAGGCTGGCCTAATTGAAACAAAGAATAAGATATAAATTGCATTGTTCTATGTTATTAGAATAAAAATTATCACAGAATAATATAATCACTCAAATTATAGGACAGTCAAGCAAGGTTTGGTTGCAGCTGATTTCCTGTAAAAACATTTAAGTCACAATTGTATCAGATGCTGTCTTCAGATTGATGAAGACAGAATGGTGGACATATTGAGCATATTTTTGTAAAAAATGTGATGCAGGATTATGTATTGATGTAAGGTTGAATATTTGAGTCTGAAACTGGCTTATTTTATAGCTAGAATATTAGATTAGATTTAGATTTAGATTTGTTTTATTTATATGCCGCCCTTTTCCGGGAGGGACTCAGGGCGGCGAACAACTCAAAGGGGGGAAAGGGAACATAGAACACAATACAAGCAGTTAAAATAAACAAGAATCACACAGCCACACAGGTCGAGAGGGGAGGGGAACTCGTCAACCCCAGGCCTGCCGGCACAGCCNTCCTTCCCTCCTTTCTTCCCTTTCTTCTCTCCTTCCTTCCCTCCTTCCTTCCCTCCTTTCTTCTCTCCTTCTCTCCATCCTTCCTTCCCTCCTTGCTTCCCTCCCTCCTTCCCTCCCTCCTTCCTACCCCCCTTTCTTCTCTCCTTCCTTCCCTCCTTCCTTCCCTCCTTTCTTCTCTCCTTCTCCCTTCCCTCCTTCCTTCCTTGCTTCCCTCCCTCCTTCCCTCCCTCCTTCCTACCCCCCTTTCTTCTCTTTCCTTCCTTCCTCCCTCCTCTCCTTTCCCTTCTCTCCTTCCCCTCCCTCCCCTTTACCCTTCCCCTCTTCTTCCCATTCCTCCCCAAATATTATTGATTGTGGGGGAGGGAGCTGCTATTAGGCCAACAGGCAATGCAATGCCCATTCAGTTTGATGGGGAAGAAATTGGAGTTCCAGCAGACTTACAGAATCCCTGTGCTAGATTGGAGGTCATCTAGTCCAACCCCCTGCCTAAGGCAGGAATCTTTATACCATTATACCAGAGAAACGTTTCTCCGATCTCTTTTTGAAAGCCTCCCGTGATGAAGCCCCCCTAAGCCTTCTCTTCCTTAGGCCACACATACCTGGTTCCCTTAACCACACAATTCCGCTTCCAGCCCTTGGATCATCCCTGTGGCTCTTCCGTGAACTCTTTCCTGGGGTCTGGACATCTTTTTTTTTGCATTGTGGTAAGCAGAAACTTTGTCTTCATGGACCCCCAGGGAAGATGAAGTACAAATGTGCCTTCTCTTGGGGAGAAACGGCGTGTTCTGACCGAGGCTTCCCCAGAAAGCCTAAATCACCAACTTAGTCCCCAAAAACTCTGTTTAATTTAAACGGCGGTGAAGTCTGTTCATTCACAGCCCGCAATGATTCTGGAGTTGCCACAGTCTTTCAGGGTAAGGCTGATAAGGACCCGCCTTTCTCTCCCTTGAACCGCTGCCAGAGACCTGACTGCCAATCAGTTTTGCAAGGCCAAAGGGAGCACAGAGTCAAACGGAGCTTCTCAGAGCTTGAACCGACCAGAAGGAACAAAGTTGCTTCCTGCAGGGGAAGGAGAGAAGAAAGAGAAGAAAGGGGGGTAGGAAGGAGGGAGGGAAGCAAGGAGGGAAGGAAGGAGAGAAGGAGAGAAGAAAGGAGGGAAGGACGGAGAGAAGAAAGGAGGGAAGGGAGGAGAGAAGGAGGGGGGGAAGGAAGGAGGAAAGGAAGGGGGAAAGGAAGGAGAGAAGGAGAGAAGAAAGGAGGGAAGGACGGAGAGAAGAAAGGAGGGAAGGGAGGAGAGAAGGAGGGGGGGAAGGAA